AAAAGAAAGAAAGATGATCCCATGGGTACCTGTTGTATAGGAAGGGTGACGGGAATCCTACCTTGGAAGCTGAAGGTTTGCACAGAAAATTAACATAATCTAATTACATCAGAGTTCTTAAAATTTTCTGAATTTTGTCAGTGAAAGTCCTGTTGTCATAAACACAAAATGTAAACATTGGTAGTGGGAAAAGTTTATATCAACACCTATTTCGTTATTTATACTGCATTGACATTTATAAAGTTGCACTGCCTTAACTTAGTTATCGGTAATTATACAATGAACAAATTTTCAAGTTACAACAAAAGGTAGGAAGGCACAAATGGCTTTCTTTTTTTCTTTTTTTCTTTCTTCCTTTTTTCTAATCAGACATGCACTGCATTATATGAGTTGCAATGTCAGTATAGATTTGCTAGAATTGACGTGGATGAAAGATTTAAGGAAGCGAGGAAGAGGGGTAAAGGGGCCAATTCTTTGGGCCAATTTTGGTTACATTTTGGGTATTATATGTATGTTACCAACCCACATCACTTGATATTGAATTTGTAGGGTTCCTTAATGGGAAGCAATTGCAATTTCCTTTTTCAAAATAATGTATATTGCTCCTGGCCCTTTATTTATCTATTTTTTCTTCTTTCTTTTTTCTTTTCTTTTCGTTTCTTTTGTTTTCATGAATAAATGTCTGTGAAGGGAAAACATAGTTGTTTTTATAAAGTTTTGATTATTTATCTTCTTTTTTTCCTACAATAGATGAGTGCATTGATGCCTTGGAATGCCTATGTCCTGTCATTTGTTTCTAGATTAAAGGTTTTAAACTTCTTTCCCCTTTTGTAATATGCATACAGATTTCCAGCAGCATGTATATATACCCTCATATGGATGGCATAGGAATATAGTTTATGTGTAGAAATGGGCTGCTTCTTAATTAAGAAGTGTTTAAAAAACAGTTTTGATGTGAAATGCAAATTGTTGGCATGTAGAGCTAACAAGCAGATTTAGTTAATCTCAAAAAACATCTAAATGGTTTTTTGATGTGCAAGCTTAAAAGTAACATGTAAACAACCAAGATTTCCTTTTGATAATAATCTCTCTCTCTCTCTCTCTCTCTCTCTCTCTCTCTCTCTCTCTCTCTCTCTCTCTCTCTCTCTCTCTCTCTCTCTCTCTCTCTCTCTCTCTCTCTCTCTCTCTGAGAGGGATTCACAAATGGGTGTAGACAAAGGCCGTGGTGCTTCTTATGTCTTTATTCTTCAAGCGGTAAGGGGGGGTCACGAGAGAAAGGGCACGGATTGCACGGACGTTTAAGTAGAGGAGCCAAGGGGTGTTACGGTTTGTGTCGTCAGTGCGAACTTGCCGTTCCGACGCGTCCTGGAAGTTCTCGGTTCCGCTTGCCCTCGACTTCTGCAGGTATCGCTGTGGTGGTATGTTGAGCGAATCTTGCGCAGCCGGTGCCTGGCTCGTGCATGAAGGAATAGTGGTGCAAGGGGCGGGTAGGGTGGGGAGATGGGAATATAAAGACTTAAACTAAGCTATAGCTATATAATAGGATAGATATGGAAGGGCTAGAATACAAGTAATTGAAGTTTAAATACGGTAACATCATTTGCCTCAGCTAGAGTATCCTAGGGGTAGCGTTTGTTGATGCATCTAGGGGTACCATTTCTGGAGGGGACGGGGGTGCATACAGTCTATTTCTCCTTGATACGTGGCGGTAAGATATGACATAGCACATTATGAATAATAATCCCATTATTGCCATGCCAGCTCCGACTACGTAAATCGGGTAGTAATAAATTGAATGAAAGGTGAAGGAAGGAATGTTGACCGGATTCTCTTGAATATGAGTGACATGAGAAGTGCTGATATCTGGGATGGTTACATTGAAAACCGGTAAGTCCAATACCATGGGGCTGATGTTGAGACCACGGACGGATATATCGGTTGCGTATGAATGGGACGCCGGAATGAATAACGACGTTGTCACAATCTCGCAGGAGATAGGGAGGACATAGATTCCGGTAACTACAACGTCTGGAAGAGCCTCTTTGCACGTGACTGTTGCGGTAGAGGGTTGGAAGAAGTAGAGGACAGAAATGTCGTCGAAGGGTAATGAAATGGACGAGATGTTGGTACGATACTATCGAATGAGCATTCGTTAATTATGTTATGATTTGTGATGATGGCATCCGAGCAGTCATCACTGAAAAGTGGCAATGGGCGTGAGTTGCAGACGAACAATCGCGGTAATGCCTGGGTGCAAGCGGTCATGAAGGTAGGTGGCGGTGTGGTGATAGTGTGACCTTGGGATGATTTGAGAATGAGTGAGTGTTGTAGTTGGAGGGTGAAAAAGGTGTTGTTGGTTTTGTGAGGGAATGGATGAATATAATAAGCGGTGAAGGAAGTACGAGGTTCCATAGGAATGAAAACCGACAGACCTGAATCGTGAGGAAGGATTTAAGGGTAGAATAGAAAGGAACGCGATCTGTGAGGGTGAATAGGGGATGGAGCTTATGGGAGGCAGCTTGTTTAAGGATGAGGTCGATATCCTGAGGAGATATGAGGCTTTCGGAAACGGTACCTTTTGAGGCTGCGATGAGATCGGAGACAAAGGAGTTGATATACTGGGTAATAGTATTTACTGTTATTTGGTAAGAAAGAACGTTGAACGTTAGTTCTGTGAAGTGACTAGCGTTGTTAATCTTTTTCTGAAGGACGTTGAAGGTGTGAGATATGTTCTTATAGGCGTGTTGTAGCTGTTGAATGTTGTCAGCAATGGCGTTAATGTTATGGATAGAAGTATCAAAACGTTGACTTATTGTAGATAATGTTGACGATATTCGGAAAATGTAGAGGTAAGGGTGTCATCGTCTACGACACCGAAGAGCGAGTGCGCAACTTTCCCTACAATGTTAATCAGTCCGCGACGCGATCGACGTTTGTGTACGACAAACTGTTGCAAGGTAAACATTGTTGAGTTTATAGCTTTGTCCAGAAGGAAGAACTTCTCGTGAGATAGATTGTCTTCAGCTATTTCGTTGCGGAGCCTGGTTATCTCGTTTAAGTGGTGAATGGCTATGTTAGAAATATCAGAGAGGGGGCGAAGGGAGACCCTAACTTCGATATTACTCGATATCGGGAATACTGTGCCTAGATTTTCGATTAATGCACCGGGCACGCGCGTAACCTTTCGGGTAGGCTGGCTCGGCGAGCAAGGTGAAGCCATGGCCAGGAGCATCAGAACGAGCATCTGAAATGAGAGACACGGTGTTAGCCTGTTAGTTTATAACGGGTGTGGGTGTGTAATGACGTAGATTTTGTGTTGCGTGGGAAACTGAATTAGTCTGAGGTGTGTGCTGGTGAGTAGTGATCGCTAGCTAGCTTCAATCTATCAAAATGGTACCAAGCAACGGTGTTTGTTGATAAACATTTACAATTTGCTTTATTGTTCTTTACTTCGAGTACTCTATACGGACCGTCAAAGCGAGGGGCGAGTTTAGGACGCATGGAGTCACTGGTGTGTACTTTTCTGAAAACTAAGGCGCCGACACCTATGGAAATCGGCCGATGCGGAAGATCGCCTTCACCCTATCTTTTTTAGAAAAAAGAACGCTTTTTAATCCTTCTCTGATATACTATTCAGTCTCTAAAGTCATACAGTCTCTTGTCAGCCAAGGGAATGTTCTCCGGAAAGTGCTGTTAATGGCGGATTGGATGGTGAGGAGGAGGTCGTCCCAGTTGTCAGATGTGGTGTCGACCAGTGATCTCATAAACGTTAGAATAGAACCATTAAGGCGCTCGGTAATGCCATTGCTCTGTGGTCTATAAGGTAAGATGTTCACGCGGGTGACATTCATTATCTTACATAGGTTGTCCATGACCTCATTCTGAAATTCTGTCCCGTTGTCACAGGAGAAGTACGTAGGTGTGGTGTACCGTTGGATGAAGTCATGGAAGGCCTTTGCAACGCTTTGGGACAGGGACTAGCAGTTATCCACGAATACGAGAAATGTGTTTATTTCGCGTGGTTACAAAACCTGATAAAGTGTCGCAGGAGACCTTCTCAAAGGGAAAATCCGGGACGTCATAGCGCAAGGCAGGGGCGGGCTGGTTGGTAGAGCCTTTGAAATAAGGACAAACTTTGCAAGACTTAACGTGCTTCTTTACCTTTGTTATGAGTAATGGGAAGAAAAATCTCTGTCTGGCCATCTGAATGGCTTTATACACTCCGCAATGTGCTGCTTCCCGCGACTCGTGTACGAGTTGAAGGACTCTTGGTTCGAGTGATTCCGGAATTACTACGACGTCTCTCACGAGGCCCCGACGTCCTTTAATTTTCTTGGGGGTGGCTCTTCTGAAGAGCAGGCCGCTGTCGGCTAAATAAAATTGTCGGACTGGCAGGCGTCTGACAGGAACCAAGGGTTCGCCTCTCTCTAGTTTGCCTATTATGTCCATGTAAACGGGGTCCTCGCGTTGCGCACGGCGAATTTCTTCCTCGGAGGGAGGGTCCACAGGTTGGTTAGCTACGTTAGCTAACACCGGCGCAGTGGTTCGGGCTTCATGACGTTTAGCAAAGCTAGGAGGGAAGGGGGTGGACTTACAGGCCTGTAATTCCGCGGGGGATGGCAAGGGTGCGCGGGAGAGAGCATCCGCGACGACATTTTGCCGGCCAGGTAAATAGACGATCGTTACGTCGTATTCGGCTAAGACTTCTATGGCACGTGCCCGTCTTCCATGGGGATCTCTGCCGTGAAGGGCGGTCGTGAGAGCGGAGTGGTCGGTGTGTACTTCTATCTTATAACCGAGTATCAACTCCCGGAAGTGACGGAGTGCATAGGTGATAGCTAAGAGTTCACGGTCCGTAGTATGACGACCGCTCTGCGGGTTTGAGGGTCCTGCTTGCAAAGGCAATGGGGCGCAGCTTGCCATTTACCTTTTGGTGAAGTGTTGCGCCTAATCCTACGCTAGACGCGTCAGTCGTGAGCACAAAGGGCAACTCAAAATCA